TAAGGTCGGAGACGGAGACCAGAGACACCAGAGCGGCGGTAAGAGGATCAGGAGACAGATCAGTGGAGCAACACGGAGACTATGCGACCATGGAGCAGAGCAGCAGGCTGACTTCCTGGCTCACTGAGGCAAAATCCAAGGGGCCATGTGGCTGAGAGGCTAGGGACTCGATAGAGATGTGGCTGCTGGCTGAGGAAAGGTGTTGCTGTGGGCCAATGACTGTCTCCTTACTGTTTTTGGATCCTGGGTTGTGGTGACCTGTTAACTTCTCTAAGAACCATGCCTGCCCTCCAACTTGCCCCCCCCCTCCACACACACACACACACACACACACTTGTGACTATTGTCTGTGTGGCCATTTCAATGAATCTTTGAGCCCAGCATAGAGGTAGGGTAGTGTGGCAGGCATGGTTGGTGTCTGAATAGGCAGCAGAGGATGGGCCGTGGAGGCTTGTCTGACTCTTCCCTGAAGGCAACATGGAAGTCAGAGGAGGTCAGCTATAGCACCCCAGGGGGCTACCTAGTGGTCACCATGAAAAGATGTGGCAGGGTCTCAATAATCTTTTAAGCACACACCAGCTAGTCTGAAGAGCTGTGCTGCCCAGGCCAACTTGCTGAGAGCAGCTATGCGGATGCCTTGCTGGTCGTCCATTCAAAAGCAACAACATTCATTCACCTTGGTTTTCTTCGAAAGATTTCCTTTACCCATACTGTAGCCTATCTTGGTGAAATAATGGGTCAAAGTGTCCTTTCTTCCCTTTAAGGAAGCTAGGGAGATCCCCAAATCATCATTTAAAGAGCTCCGGTGCCATAGCGTTTATGTATTGGGCTGCTAACCGCAAGGTCAGCAGTTCAAGCCAACAGAAGCTCCTCAGGAGAAAGACAAAGCTTCTCACTCTTGTAAAGTTATAATCTCAGGAACTCACAATGATAGTTCGACTGTTCCACAGGGTCCCTGTGAGTCAGATTGGACTCAATGGCAGTGAGTGTGTTTGTTTGGGGGAAGTTTTGGCATATCCCAAGGTGGTGTGCGACCAAAACATAGCCTCTCTGTCATGGGCTTTCAAATGTTGGCAGGATGATGTCCACATCTGTGAAATCACTTCTGCATCTGGGTGGACGCTGAAGCAACTCTTGCTTCTCAGATCTACAATTACCCCATTCCTCACTAGTCCTATTCTGATTTTTCAAGGCTTCCCTTTAATCTTTGCATTCTCCCATATCTTTAAAAGAAATTATCTTCTTTGGTTCTGTGACTTGCAACAAAACCATCCCAATTAGTGTCGGGGCACAGTAGCTAAGGCTCTCGTTCTAACTACAGGGGCAAGAGGCAGAACTCTGACATGGGGAGCCTGACCCTTCTGCCTGATGCTGTGTGGCACATTCTCAGGAGCAAGCTGTCGTGCTCAGTAGTGTGCATGGAAATAACTACTCATTCCTGAGAAGCAAGAAATCAAAATTATTGTGTAATCTTACAAAGAAGACATCAATTTTGCTAGAATTATCCAGGAACCTCTTTGGGAAGGAGCAAGTATAGGGCTGGCCCTTACTGACAAACTCCACCACCACCACCCATCTCCAAACTGGTCACTGCAAACAAAAGTTTCAGCTTTGACTGACGCTTGGGCTGTGAGTACAGCTCATAGTCTGGAATTGTTCTTCCCACAGAAGTAAAGAGTAGTACTGGCCAGACTTCATCCATTACGCCTCCATAGATCCTCACCCAACAAATGAAGCCCACTACGATCGTGACCCCATAGGAGAGGGTATAACTGCTTCTTACGATTTCTGAGACTATACATCTTTTTGTTTTTTTAAATCATTTCATTAGGGGCTCTTACAGCCCTTATCACAATCCATCCATCCATCCATTGTGTCAAGCACATTTGTACATTTGTTGTCATCATTGTCAAAACATTTTCTTTCTACTTGTGTTCTTGGTATTGGCTCCTCATTTCCCTCCCTCATGAACCCTTGATAATTTATAAATTATTGTGTTTTTCATGTCTTATACCAACCACTATCTCCCTTGAGACTGTACATCTTTATGGGAGCAGATAGCTGCGTTGAAAGAGCCCAATGCTTAGCCCACTGTATGGGACAGATCTGAGACAGTGTGAATTCTAGACACATATGTAGATGGTGGCCAGGGACAGGCCTGGCTGGGGAGTGGGCTAAAATAAGGCTGTAAATACTGGAGCAAGGAAGTTTCTGAAAAGCATCAGGCAAGGGTCGAAGATTTTTTTAGAGATAAGTGCAAAGGAACACCAAATAATGTGGAGCCCAAGCAGGTATAGAAATACTGTAACAGGTGCTTGAGGCAAAGAGAAAGAGCAAATACAGGTGGGTTGGAACAATGACCAACTCCCGTGTTCTCATTCGTTTTGCACTTGCCACGTATTTGTCACAGGTTAGTCCATTTCTAAGGCATGGATCAGCCCAGGGTCAGGAACAGAGTAGAAAAATGAGCCAGTAAATTAGAGAGAGAGACAGAGACAGAGACAGAGAGAGAGGAGGCAAATTTTCTGCAACACGGGCTTCTGTAAAGGAAACCATTTTACAATGGCCTTGTGGCTCTTTACGATTGCCCAACAGCCTAACCATGAGGTCAGCGAGCTGAGGCTCTCACACCAATCAGTTTTGTGCCCTCAGCTTGGAACCATTACAGGCCTCAGTTTCATCTGAGCAATTGAGGAACAGTATCTCACCGCCTGACAACCGACTTTCTCAGGTTGTCTTAAAGCTCTGGTAAATCGTCTGAGGGTCTTAAGAAAGCTAAAAATGCTGTAGAAACAAGTGATCCAAATTGGTGGTGAGGTGGGTGTGGGAGGCCTGGAAGGGCATGATCAAGGGGAATGTAACAAAGAGGAAGTGCTGAAACCCTGGTGGGAACTGAGCATGATAGTGGGACAGGAGGAAAATCAA